ACCCCCCGGGGACCCCGCGCGTCCGCAGCATGGCCGCCTCGCGAGCCACGCACAGACACTCGCCAGCCTCACCCACTCCGGGAGGGGCCACCAGGCCCCGCCCACACGGAAGGGGCCCGGTCACGCCCCGCCTACCCCGGAAGAGGCGGTCGGAAAGAGGCCGCCCCGCCTCCCTCGGGCTGTCCGGAGCCCGCTGCGGCGCAGGGGGAGGGGCAGTGCCTCAGGGTGGGGGAGGGGAGCGGCAGGCTTGGGTGGTGTCCCCGCTCCGGGCCGCTCGCGGGCCGAGGCGTCCCGCCCTTCTCAGCGCGGGACTGAGCAGAGCCGGTGCAACCCGGGCCTGGGGACGGGCCCACGCGCGGCCGGGCCCGGTTCACCGGGCGGGCACCAGCTGCCTGCTCCTCGCCTGCTGGCGAAGCACTTCTGCACCCCAGCGCACACACTCCGTCTCCGCATGAAAGAGCGAAGCTAGGACACCACCCATTCATCAAGTACGCGTAGTAGGAAATGTCTGCCTGGGATTCATTTTAAGATGAAAAGTTATGTCATCTCGTCTCTTGAGAACAAAAACATTCTGAATTGCGGTTTCAACGGGACTTTTTAAAGGTGGATTCTCTTTAAGTTACTTTCAAATTATCTCGACAAATGTGTCCCTATTGATATCTTCCAAAACCGTGTCAAAAAAAGAACGAAAGGATGAAAGAATGAGAGAGAAAGGAAGAAACAAAAAGAAAGAAAAAAATCCCCTTTGCTTTTGCAGTCCTCAAAACAGCACATAAGTTCCCCAGTTCTCTTGGGCTTGTTTTGGTCGTTCTACAGAAAGGCAAGTGCTTAACTAGAGACAAACAAATTATCTTCCTAGAGCACTTAAACTTTTCTCCAAGATCCCTGGAGTCCAGCTCTGCAGCTACACGGTAGTCTAACATGAATTGTGTTCTAAGGCATGCATGACGCTAAAATGTTAGAATCTGTCGTTCAGAATTAGGAGACCTCCACATCAGTGCTAAGCACACACTCCCCAAATACTCACAGTTCTGCTGGTGCATTACCCAATCCCTGAGTACTTTAGATTGCAAGTTCTTTTGAACACTCTCACTGTACCCACCAACAAATTCAGAAAAGGATTGCAGAATCAATCTCTGATGAAATCCACCTGTTGTGCAGGTGGGAGAACATTTGAGCAGTAAAACATCTGATACAGAAAGTTCTGACCCAGATATTAGATAAGCCAGTAAAATAAGAAAATGAACAAAAGGCTTGACTGCAATCTGTGAGAATATGCGGAATTCAAGGAAAAAGCTAGAAGTTTTGCAAACAGATTTAGTAAGACAACACCAAACCCCGCACATGAATCTGGATAGCTGGCATGTTTTAATTGGCCATAGGACATCATGATTTTTAAACTAACAGCGGTATCTTGTCCTCTGGAAATTGGTCCCGTAAGGTGCTCAGCCCTTGGCAGGCAGCAATGCTACCTTAAGTCTTCTGGGAATCTTCAAACAGTGATAAACATACCCATTATTTAATGATGCTTAAAAGCATGACTCCTCTTGCAGGTTCAATATTAAAGTGACTGGGAAGATATGTTAGCACATACACCAAAAGAGTGCGTGAGCGTTGAGGTGACCCCTCCCAGTCTAGGTCAGAACAAAGTATATTAAAATTAATGATTCCAAAATATCACGAATGCCAGTTCTTAGTCCTTCATGACAACAGCAAAAAAAAGTAGTTCTCAGCATTACATTTTCTTTCAAAGCAAAATTTGTAAATCGAAAGTAGAGTAGATAAGATAGCACATATTTAGGGCAATTCAAGTTTGAGATGAATGTGTTAGGATTTATATTTTAAGCACCTCAAAACATATAGAATTGTATGTTCATCTCTTTTACTCCCATAGGTTTCAGCATCTCCAGTTAAACTAGAAATATAACCTTAGAAAAGAGAATTTAATAACTATTTTTGAAACACACTCCAAAGAACAAAATTGAAACAACCAAAATTCTTCAATCTATCCTCAAAATTAAACACTTTTCTTTAGTGGCATATCTAAAATGCGTGGTCACAGTCATGCCTTAGCTATTGGTCTTCTAACCTTGTCCAGAAAACGGTGAAGTAATTGGCATACACTTTAAGAACTTTGTAAAGCTAATCAAATTATTTTCGGACTTTTTAGCCCAAGGGGTAAATTAAATGTCTTATAGACATTTTTCACCACTGCATCCCTACTGCATAGAACAGCAGCTAGCACATGCTAGGTGCTTATTAAATATTTCTTGTTGAATGAATAAGTTTTTTTGTTTAACGTGTCTGTGAAGTCCATGAAAACATGAAGAATAATTATTGAGATGACATCGTGATTAAAAAACAAACAAGAAAACTCCAGCTTGCTTATCACTGGAAGGGGTAAATTGTTTCTCACCTTTATTCTTAAATCAAGATAAACACTACTCATTTTAGAGACGATGAAGGCAAGGATTAAAAGAACCTATCTCTTTCTTGCAACTGTACTTTAAAATTACTTATGTTTTTTTCTTATTCAACGTTTACTCTCTATCCCATATAATGTCTCCGTTTCCACATAACGTCATAGTATTAAAGTCTTTTGTGCAGGCTAGTGGCCAGTAAATGAAACTTAACTCATCATTTGCTTTAAACTGGGCCGAAGCTGGAAAAATGCGAATCGCTAAGTAAAATAACAACCATTTTCCTGAATATCGAAGTGATCATTCTCCTGATGTGAGGGTGGGTTAAGGGGGCTGAGAGTAAAGATCAAACCCGTTTACTTCAAAGTGTAAGTATTATTCGTCGTTTATCACCGCATCAACGATCCAACGTGAACAACTCATTTCGAAAGACAAACAGCTCCATTTAGTCTCGTCTGCGCCCCGCAGATCGCTGGAATGAGCACCGCTGCAGATAATTACCTATTTTATAAACACTGGATTGGTCTGCAATGCTACTGGGTTACAAAGAGTAACTTAAAACTTCCCGGCGGTCGTGGTTGTCACAACACTGCTTCTCCGGAGACTCGGAGCTCCAACCAGAACGTGCCGAACCTCAGAGCATCGCTCCCCGACCAAATGGAGCGTCCGCGGGGCAGCAGGGCACCGGGAGCGAGGCCGAAACGCCCCATCCACGAGCCGAAGGGCGCGGCGCCGCCCAGGCGCGGAGCTGGTAGGGACGTCCGCAGGCTGCGGCCGAGCTACCTGACAGGGTTAGAGACCGCGACAGGACACCCGCCCCTCCGAAGAGGAGACGGCCAAACAGCTGAGCACAGCCGAAGCGGCCGAGCGCGGCAAGCCGGGAACACCAGCCGTGGCGCAGGCCTGGGCCAAGAGGACAAAAGCTGGAGCCGTGGCCACGCCCGTGGGCGGGGCCTCTGCCGGAAGGGGCGGGCCCGTCGTCTAGGCAACGGGGCTCTGCCGAAAGTCCTAATCGAGGAGTTTAGAGCGGGGAGAGGAGCCATGGGGGGAGGGGAGGGGCCGAGCCAGCACAGGGAGAGACCCCCAGGACCCCGGCAAGTGGAAGCCTGCCCCGCCCCGCTTTGGGTGGTCTTTCGAAATGGGGGCGCGGACTTAACGGATTCCAGGACACAGGCGGGAAGGAGTCGGGGTGGCCCGCCCTCTGCGGGGGCTCGGCGTGGGGAACGGCTCCCCTCTCGAGCCCCTTTGTCTCCAAGCGGCTCAACACTGGGCTCCGGCCGGCAGCACAAAGGGCGGGCGGTAAGGACCGCGCAAGCGCGGGAGCCGCCGAGGCTGCTGGGAGTGGTGGTCCGACTGCCGAATGGTAGGTCTCCCGCGCGGGCAGGCTGCTGCCTGGGCCGCACCAGTGCGCATGCGCCATCGCTTCCGGCCTGCTCGGCCAGCCCTGTCCCTCCGCCCCCTGGAGGACACGGGTTTCTAGTAGTAAGAGCCCGGGAGGAGGTATCCGTGCTCACCCCGCCTTCTCTTCGTCCTCATTGGGCTACTGAGGTGAGAGCGGAAACTCGATTGGCTGTCGAGGTTGCCAGTCTGTTCCGAGCCGTACTTATTTCCCGCTGCAAGGCGGGTTGCGGAGAGTGAGGGGCTGAGCATGGGGAGGGGGGTGGCAGCCTGGGCTTGCGATGGTGCCGCTGCCGGGTCGGTTCCGGCCAGGTCTTGGGCGGGGCTACCTGCTGCCCCGCGTCCCCCTGTGGGCGTGCAGTGCCGCCCGACGTGCTCCGCCTGCAAGTGCGAAACTCCTAGTAAAGTTTGCGCCTCGCCCGCTGCCCCTTGCCCCCGCGACCCCCGCCCGGCCAAAAGTGACAGACAACCCACACCCCCGGGCGGCGGGGCTAGCGAGGGGCATGAATGCGGTGGGGGCGGGGCCCACGGGAGGGGGGGGGGCGGAGGGGCCGGGGCGCATGCGCGGTGCTGGGGGCCGAATGTTTCCCAAGTGTTTGAAACTGGTATTTGGGTTTTCCACGTTGGACAAGTGCGGCGCGGCGGGCGGCGCGCGCCCCTTCCCGCGCTCGCTCGGCCCCGGCCCCGGCCCCTGCGCCGGGGGGCGCGCCCGCACGCCCGC